AGATGTGGGCTGAGCTCTTGGTTGTGCCCCGCAGGGCCGGGCTGCGGCTGCTGCGGCGGCGGCTGGGCGGGAGCGGAGCCATGAGGCTGCAGGCGCCGCAGTTCCAGGCGCTCTTCACGCCGGGGCTGCGCAGCGTGGCCGGTGAGTGCGGGGAGGGGAGGCCCTAAAACCTCCCTGAGCACAGCCCCCGGGGTGCTTCGGGTTGGGAAGGACCTTAAAGCCCATCCAGTGACACCCAGCCATGGCAGGGACACCTCCCACTGTCCCAGGCTGCTCCAGCCCCAATGTCCAGCCTGGCCTTGGGCACTGCCAGGGATCTGCTCTGGGATTTCCATCCCAGTCCCTTACACCTCACTCCTAAACCTACCCTCCCTCCCCTTATTGCCGTCCCCCCCTTGCCCTGTCACTCCAAGCCCCGCTAAAAGGTCCCTCCCGAGCATTTTTCCGCTCCCAGAACCTTCTCTGCTCTTAGCCCATCTCCAGGAACACGGCAGAGCTCCTTTTCCCCTTTGCAGGCCCATTCCTTGGTGCTCTGTTGTTCCTGGAGAAAATGGTGTTCATGGCTCACTGTTCTCTGCCGTAAATAATCCCAATTCTTTCCCCTTGTCAGCCCCTGACTGTTCAAGATGATCCCCAGCCCACAGTCACCAGGATCAATTAGAGACCTGCCAGTTGTTAGGTTTTCAAAAAAGCTTCAAAAAAATAAATCGGAATGACAGGGAAAATACCTGTGGGTGCTCAGCTGTGCCACGAATTAGTGCATTTTGCATGAAGCTGTGAGTTATTTGCTGCTTTCTGCGTATCTGAGTGTTTATTCCTGTATCTGTAATCTTAATTTTGTGAGAGGGCAAGTTATGGCACATTGTTCCATGGGTTTATTGCTGTTTGGTTCTCCTTCCCTTCCCAGAACTGTTTGAGAAGAAGAACTATGAGCTGAGAATAGCAGGAGGGGCCGTGAGGGATTTACTGAGTGGAGTGACACCACAAGACATCGATTTTGCCACCACAGCTACACCAGCAGAGATGAAGGAAATGTTCACAGCAGCTGGGGTTCGTCTGATCAATAACAAAGGAGAAAAACACGGAACCATCACTGCCAGGGTTGGTTTGGGATTTCTTTGGATCTTTTCTATCTTTCTGTGGATGTGCAGCATGTCCAGTAGAAGATTTGCTCCTTATTTGTTTAATGTTTCCTGCTCCTGATTTCCTGTCAAGTTCTGTTTCCTCTAGCTGGCTCTTAGTCCATCTCCTGCAGGAAGATTTCCGCAGGCTCTGCAGAAAATAAATGATGTCAAGATCATTTTCAGCTCCTATTTCTCAACTCTGTATGAAAACCCTGCACACACTGCTGTGCATGTGTCCACAAACACGGGGCTGAATAAAAGGAGCAGCTTTTGCATTTCATTTGATTTGATTTGATTTCATGGCTGTGCTGAAGTAACGATGTCTGTGGGATTTGCAGCTCCATGAACAGAATTTTGAAATTACCACTCTCCGAATAGATGTTGTCACCGATGGACGGCACGCAGAGGTGGAGTTCACCACAGACTGGCACAAGGATGCTGAGAGGAGGGATCTCACTGTCAACTCCATGTTTTTAGGTAAATTGGAAAAACGGTTATGTGGATGAAGCACTGAATTTGAGTTTAGCCAGGGAATTCTGTCTCTGTGTCAAAGGTCTGTATAAATGCATGAGATGATCTGACAGAGCAGGTCAAATCACACAGCTTCTCACTTCCAAAGGAGAGTGCTTCCTTGTGGCAGCCACATTTGTAAATTCATATTCTGGTTTTTCATTTTTTTCTAGGTTTGGATGGGACACTCTATGATTTCTTTAATGGTTATGAAGACTTGAAAAACAAGAAAATCAGATTTGTGGGGAAGGCAGCTGAGAGAATACAAGAAGATTATTTAAGAATCCTGAGATACTTCAGGTAAAAGGTTTCACCTTTCCTTGATAAATAAACTGTATAAAATTTCAAAAGCATTCAAAAAGATACCAATGGTGTAAAAAGAGTTGTAGT